CCCCCCCCCACAAAAAAAAACGAACTAATATCAGCACTGCCCTCAGTAGCTCTGAACCGTTAAGATAGAGCAGGTAATTGTCAAGGTTAATTAGTTAGATTGAGTGAATAAAATTTCACTTGCAAATAGTGAGTCTCCCCAACCTTACTTGAATGAGAACTATAGTTTCAGACTTTCAGCACAACATACTACAAATATGTAGAAAATCACTACTATGGTTTCTAGGGGGGATTAATAATAGAGAAGCAGTTAGATTGATCTACCTGAAGCGGATTGAGCCATTGAATATACTGGAGATATAATAGGAACCATCTGGCCAACAAGAAGACCTAACTGCAAAATGGGATCAAAACCACAAGAAATGATGCATTTTGGCAGCAAATTGTTCTATGGAGAAAATAAAAGCAAGACTTGAAGTTTCTAGAAAAACAAATTGTTGCAAGATTTCATGCTTCTTTCAAAAAAGTAATTACGGCATCTGATCCTTCCTCGTCCACATTTACTCCTATCAGAAAACACCTATATTACAAGCCAGTACCATACATAGTTCTCCTAATAGATTATCAACCATCCCTTAATCCACACCCTTTGACGAACACACGAAAAGAAAAGAAGAAAGTGCTTAAATTTGTCTAACACTCTGCTCACCTATTTTCTCTATCAAACCATAAAACAACTTACAAGGCAGATAAGCTTCTGTTGGCTTCCATCCGATTTGCCATCAGGGAGTAGGAAAGGAAAAAGAATGGAATGAAGTAAAGCAAGTTATCAGAGACTCAAGTGTTCTCTTTGATGCCAATGGCGTGCCATTAGACCAGATATAGATCTTCTCCTTAGCAGTCAAACTTCAGCACTCGTGCCTCTCCCACTTTTTTCATTCTATATCATTTTTTTTTATAAGATAAATTGTATTAATCAAAAGGGAGAGAACTCCCGTATACACGAAGTATACCAAAAAGTAGAGAATTTACATCAGAACATGATTCTCTACAAAAGACGCCCAATCTTCTATACAAGTAGGGGCTAAATGAGTGCACCTGCACCAAAAAGCGATCAAAGATAAAAGACTATTCTTAAGATGTGAAAAAGGAGACTCAATCCCCTCAAAAGCTCTCCTATTTCTCTCCCCCCAAACTATCCACATGAGAGCTAACGGGGCGAACTTCCACGCCTTTTGCTTTCTTCTTCTACGGAAACCAGCCCAGCTATATAACATTTCCTTTACAGTGCTTGGCATCACCCATT